CTTACCTCAGGCTACTCAAAGAGCTTCTACTGGCCAAGCCCGGACCCACACGAAACACGCTGCTCGGATGGAATGATCACCTGCAGAGTCTCAGGAGATGGAAAACAATGGTGAGATGCTAGCTTCTTGTTCCTAGTAGTAAGGCCAGGAGCACCTAGTAGCGTCGCTTGTGGACCATGATTCTGCACCTTCTCCAGATCCTTTGGCTGAATCGCAAATCTCAGGTCTGCTGTCTTCGCCCCCGATGCAGCCAGTTCCGGTTCTTGCACTCTGATGCGGGAATCGCAAGGCTATTCGCTGGCGAGTGGTTCTGTAGGTCGGTAAAGAATCGGCAAGTGAGTAGAGACCCCGCGACTGCGTGGACGGTGTTGCCTGTGGCTCTCTTCGTACATGCAAAAGACAGCTGACTTTTTGGGTGTATGTTGCGAGCAACATCACTTGCTACTTGCTGTGTTCGCTTTCCGCGGGGAAGCTCTCACCAAGAACACTCCCAGCACTGCAAAAGGAGTGCACAAACGTCCGGGTTTGAGATGCAGAAAGGACCTGAAGGACCTGCCTCGACTCGAACATGGGAGTTTCTTGTTTTCAAACAAAACGTGATCAAAGATGAAGAAGAGAGATAACAAGAATGTCTTCTTGTTTGAAGAACACAAGATGATCAAACATCAAGTCTCTCTCAGAGTCACGAGTTGGGCAGCGGGTCAGTGGGGACTTTCGGGATGCACCCTGGGATGCAACTCGTGGCTTTCGGGTGTTTTGAGGAACAACACGACTTAACAGCTTGCGATACTTTTAGAATCTTTTATATACCTGGATCATTGTTGGGTTGTTGTTTTTAAGCCTCTTGTGAAAAAACTGCTTTTTTGAATCAGAGGCAGTTTCTGCAATGCAGAGGCGTTTCTTGCACTTTCTCAAGGTTGTTGGGACTTGTGATATGTGAATCAAACAATGTCGGACGAACCAAGCAAACATCACCTAATAGCTATTGTAATGATCGATGTTGAACGGCGAAGCGTGACGGGAAGCTACTATATGAGTAGCAAAAAAATCACCACCTCCGCACCACCTCATCCAGCTGCTGCAACTCTTTTTCCTTGAGCGGCCAATGGCCGTCAGTGGCAGCTGCTTCGTGGGGCCTGCACGAAGCGTGTGAAGTCGGCATGTTTATCAGCTCCAGTGCATATACATGCTTTTACGGATGTGACGGATGTGTGCACTATCTTGGCTCCACAATTCATTTAATATAGCTTTTGTGTTCAAGTGAAGGGGTGTCACTGTTTGCTAGCTCACAGGTCTGAGTCTGAGTTGCAATCCCATGAGCGCCATGGTCAAGGGCGATGCATCCGGGGTAACGACCCCGGTGCCTAAAGCAAAGGCCCAAAGAAAGAAGGTTGCCGACTTCACACTGGCCAAAAGCATGGAGGATAGCCGTTTGGTCCGGGATGTCATGAGGGAACATGGACGGCTGATCCGGTGGGTCAGTGAGGAAAAGAAGAATGTCATAAGCTTGGAGTGCCTGGGCTTGAACTCTGGCGTCATGTGCTTGGTTGCTGCCCATCATTGTTCTGTGACGACAGTGGTGAAGCCTCCAAGTATCGACTTTCTCAAAGCCCAGGCGACAGTGAGTTGGAAACATTTTTTCTTTGCTAGTTGATTCAAAAAATGAGGTGGAGCTGACATGGTTTTGACTCACATAAACAAAGTTCCCTGACAGGTGTGGAAGCTGCGCAACCTCTTGGGCAAGGCCATGGACCCGGTCGGCATTCACCACGATGCATGGGTCATCAAAAAGCTCTTTTCATACTCGCTCCGAAGGTCTGGTGTGGACAAGCCCTCTCATGAGACTTCCCAGACTAGCCCTTCCCGCCGAGTTACCCGACTTTGCCAGTTTTGTTTTTTTTGTGTTGACTTTGTCTTGCAGTTCCCATGGACCCATGGTTTGGTTTCCAAGTTTCTTGCAAGGCATGTGGTGTCCAAGACTTCTATGACATCATCTTCCTTCACTGGGGCTCAAAATTGTGGGCTATGCAGGAGGAGCGGAAAGTGAAGAAACCCGAGAATGAGTCAACTGATCTGACTGATGTGGTCATTTGTGATGATGATGGTGACTCAGCTGAAGTCGCTGAGAAGGAGGAAGCATCGCTGAAGCAGGCTGAGCAAGGTCTCATCCTGATCGATGGTGACCCATACATGGATATCAGCGAGCTTTGTGAGTGTGAGGGCAAGGAGTCTGCTGAGGCTACCAAGGCTG